CCATCACCTGCAGCTCGTCTGGAAATACCACCAACAGCAGGAGCAGAACTGACAATAGTTACTAGTCCCCCAACAAAAGGAGAAATCCTGTTGGCAGTCAAGCTATTAAAGTCTAAAAAGAAAACAGGACCAAGCGGAATTCCTTCTTAAAGCACTGAGAACAAATACACAAACCGCAATGTTTGGAAGGGAGAAAAGGTACCTACCGATTGGAACAAAGGCTAGCTTGTCAAGCTACCTAAGAAGGGATACTCAGGCCACTGCAAAAACTGGCACGGAATTATGCTCCTCTACACGTCAAGATAAATATTAATTCGTGTCATCCTGGAGAGAATAAAAGATGCTCTGCATGCAAAACTCCATCAGGAACAATCTGCATTTACGAAAGGCAAGTCATGTGCTGATCAAATTGCAACTCTGTGCATCATCATCGAACAGGGTATAGAATGGCAGTCGAATCTCTACCTCGAATTCATCGAATTAAGAGAGGCGTTCGACAGTGTTGACTGTGAAGTGATTTGGAAACTACTTCAACACTATGGAGTGCAGTGCCCAAATCTTTATCAAACTCATTTAACAGTTATATGACAACGTTGTATGTGAAGTGATGCGGAGTGTTTTTAGTGAATACACGAGTGAGATATGGCTGCCTACTATCATCGATAATATTTCTGATTGTGGTGAACTGGATTTTGCACCAGTTTATGGGGAGCGAGAAGACAGGAATATGCTGGACAGATAAGAAAACTCTTGAAAATTTGGATTTCTCGGATGATTTATGTATAATGTTACATAAATTCGAAGACTTGCAGGCAAGAACCAACAAGTTGACAGAAGTAGCAGGCTGTGAAGACAGGATTTCAAGTAAATGTAGTGAAAACGGAGGTGATGATGATAACCAACCAACAACACCAACAGGCACCAGTCCCTATCAACGGAAAACAAATTGAAAGAGGTCACTTCCTTCATCACCTATTTAAGCAGCATTGTTTCAGCTACAGGAGAGTGGATATGGATGTCGCAACTGGAATCGGAAAGGCTAGGCAGACCTCCATCACTCTGAAATCAGTTTGGAAATCTTTTACATTAAGCATCAAGAACAAAATTTGGATCTTCAACACCAATGTTAAGTCACTTCTTCTGTGTGGGTGAGAAACTTGACGCATCACAGAAGGTATTTCCAGTAGCCAGCTGCAAATTTTTATTAACAGCTACGAACCAATCAAGAACCTATCAGTCAACAAATATGATGATGAAAATGGAGATGGATTGGATGTACGCTGAGGAAACCATCGGGTGACATCGCACGTCAGACTCTCGACTGGAATCCAGATGGGAAACGACTAGTTGGGCGTAGGTCCATGGGTGATATGAAGGAGATAGTATGAGGATGAGATGAAAGCTTATGGACGATAGAGGCGCCAGCTGAAGTGAACTGCAGAGGACAGGACAAAATGCAGATGTGTTGTTGAAGCCCTATGTTCCACTCGGAACCCAAGGGAATAATAATACTTTAATATGTTTTGAAATAGTGAATTCCGCGTAAAACCGCGGAGTTGAATCATACAGAGCACATAAGTTTTCTCGCAATGAACAGTGTCATTCATGATAAAGCCGATATGCTTCAGCCTACAAACATTAAAACTTTCTCTAGCAGATGCTTATTTATTTTGAAATCCAAGCATAAGGCAGGTTTGTACATTCGTATTTTTCCACATGACAGCCAGGTGAAAAGCGTATTGCTACTGAAAAGTGTACTACTTACTGACATTTATTAAAGATGAAGTAAGGTAAGGTAAGATAAGCCAACCAGGTAATTTGACATTTTATCGATGCTACCGACAGCTCAGTTTAGGAAATATATTTTTTCATTAGGTATCCATGTAATGGGAGTGTAAAACACTATTGGTTCCCCAAAAGGATTTCTTAGTTAAAAATGTTCCCAAAAGAGTAATTTGTGACCAATTATTTATAACAAGAAAATAAGCAAATTTTCAGCAGACTGAATCTAATAATCTATGGATTGGTAACGATGAGTGAGATATGTGCAAACTACAATACTAAACAGAATATTTTCCGCCCTAATTAAAAGATTTCCCCCATGCAATTACTGCAAGCCAGACAGTAGGAATGCTGAACCCTGGTCTGTCTTTATAATATTACATTATACCTACTAGAGAATAGAAGAAGGGAATTGTTGTAGCATATGACTTCACTAACATACACTATATGATTGCGAATTACATATTTAATTAATTATAAAGAAGGTTTAGAAGGTACAGTCTTATTCAGTCTTTCCTTATCTATTTTCTAGGATATTGTTAGTGTCTTCGCTAATTCCCAGCCACAAGAGAATAATGTTACAAGAATAATCATTTATATTTCTAGTATAGTATTATTCACTTTGCTTATTGTTAGTTTCTTCCTCTCTGAATCAAATTCTTCTCTTTGTGCTATTCTATCAGAGGAATATATGAGTGTATACACGTGCATACAGCAAAACAAAACAGAATATCACTCATAAGGAAAAACTAACATTTTAGAGGAAAAAAATGTAGAATGCAACATTTCAGCTATCGACAGTGTAACATAGATTGTAGTTATTTTTGCCTAATTAGAAAAATGTTCAATTTAGATCGAACAGTAGCATTGGTATTAGTAGTGATGATAATGATAGTAGGTAAACAGAAAATAGTAACCCCCCTTACTCCAAAAAAGGAAAAACAGCAACAGTAAAAAAGAATAAACATGATGTCGATAAAAAAGTAGTTACATTTTCTTCTTCTTAATTATATTTTCAAGATGGTTAATTAAAAAAAATAGTTAATTAAAATAATGTAGAATAGTAAGCAATGAACTCAGAAGATAAATCCCAGTGTAATATGTGCAAATTAATTTTCAATTTATACATCTAAATACACTTCTTTAGCTGGCAGTTAGTTTCTTCAATGTGCATAGAAGTTAGAACTCATTGAACAATGAGAATATAATTAACTGGTCTTTTTTAAAAGTATAAAAACCAACACACTCCTGTGATGTAAATTAAAAATACATAGGTCGACAAAGGGCATTCTTTCCGTAACTTGATTCATAGTGTTCCACATGTTCATGAGATTATCTATGATGGTTAGTTCTTTTTACCTGCATATTTTCATATGTCTCTGTAGGCGACGTAAAGCACTTCCTTGATGTATAGACAGCTATTTTTACTTGACACAAACTTCTCACCGTTTGTTATTCCACGTGGCTTTCAAGTCTCATATGCTGACTATAATTTACTGATTAAGTCTGCTATATAACTGCAAAACTGAGTAGTACAGTACTGCGATACATTTTATTTGGAAATTAATCGTCAGGATAATCCACTTAACATATCCAAATCCTTAATAAAAGCATTTCCCATAGGTTATGTGAATCTGTTTCGTCTTGTGCTGAGATTTTTCTACATCATTATTCAAGCTATATCTAATATATATTCTCAGGTCTGACATATATATATATATATATATATATATATAACTATAGTGTAGAGAAATAAATCGTCAATACCGCCCACATAAGTTAACTATTGCTTAATTTCCCTTTACATTTCCATTCACAGACTCGAAAATAGTAACTAAGTTTAATAGGATTACTTACGATTCTATTTCCATGGTACTACTTGCTAAACAATGATCTCAGTTGTGTGCAGGTTGCATAGGAGAACGCTGTTTTCACAAAAAGAAACAACAACTTCAGACCAATACACTGTAAAGCTGTGTTAGTTTAAAACTTGTCAACAGACCTCATTCTTATTACTACAGAACTAACGATCACTGGTACAAAAAGCTATGTAACAGATCGCTGTTATCATCCGACAACTTTTATTAATTCTCACCTAAGTGAATCGACATGTTTTAGTTAATCCACTTTAGTCTTAGATTTTTGTCTTGAATCAAACCTCTAACGACGAGAAAATAGTTTTTCGTGTTAAAAAAGTAGGAAATTTGTTGAAATAAATAATTTCCCAAGGTAAGTTTGTTTATAAAACGATACCATTTAGAGAGCCAGTGAAAATCAAGGAGCACTCGGTAGCACTGGTGTTATATCACGAATCGACGAGAGTTAAAAAATAATAGATCCATTGGCTGAATGATAACGCGCCGGCTTCATAACCTGAAAGACATAGATTATAGTCTCGGTGGGATCATTTATGCGTACTGATGATGAGTGTCAAGATAGGCCGAAAGGACTGTTCACTGCTAACTGTTTTTCCCCGGTTCTCTAACTGATTTTGTTTCTTTACGTACTCTACAATGAAATCAGTCAAATGCCTACAAACCAATGCATGAAAAGATATTTTTATTAAAGCATTTGCCTTTCACGCTCTCCTTTTGAAGGTAAGGTAATAATGATACATTAATAAACTTAACTGATTGATAGGCAACCACTTTTCGTTGAGACTTCGGTACAAAATCACTCACTTAGCCTATAAGAAAAAATCATGAAGACTCACTTTCAAATAAATGAACCACTTTATTTATTTACAGCATTATGAAACGAGAGAATAATATAACTACCTGAAGAAATTCCAGAAAATGTGCCACCCACAAAAATAGTGTATAAACCAGCCTAATAAACATACCTGCGAGAATAAAATGTATCAATGATGAATACTGAGTATCGAAAATAATGTATAATATTGCCTTGAATGAATAATCTCAGGTAAACACTTTCAGGTAGTTTAATAGAAGGATACATCAGCACTAACAGATAAATCTAACCTCTACACCAGAATTCCACGCTTCTGATGTAGATTTATCTAGTGTCATCAAACAATGGTTCAGTTTTCACAGGTTGATAATTATGACAGTTATTTGAATAAGTCAAAACGAAATCAAGAAATACTGAGCATAAGATACATACTACGAATATTTATATAAGTAGACAAAGAAAAAAAACAAAAAATAAAAATTTCATGGTGCTACAAAATTTCATGCGTGTACAAAAGAATCACTCACTGGGCTTGTAGTTTTATTTCCTCTGACAATGACAGGATTATTCGCTTCCCTGCTCATACTCATCATTGTCGGCTGGCAATAATTATGCTTATCCATATGTGACTGTAAATGAGACATATACTTTCCAGGGCTGGTAGTTGAACTAGGCATAGATATATGTCTACTTAATTTAGTGGATACATTACTTGTGGGTTTATTATTTGTCAGGCAAGCAGTATGACTCGACTTTGATGTGGAGTTTATCTGAAGAGAAAATAAGGACAAAAATGCTAAAAAGTTTGCAATAAGCTTGGTAGGTATTAAAAATGGGATGATTTATCAGCTTTTTCTAACTAGCAGTAGTTTAGAACACTTACATTAGGTTACAGGATGAACTTTAGGCTATCTTTTCTCACCATTGTTATATCATCTGGTGGCCTTTTTTAACAGTAGATAGTATGTAATTAATTTAAGCTGAAAATTAAACTGTACATCTAAGTACTTTTATCACGTTAATTATTCAGTTACAATTCACTTATAAGAAATATTATCAGTTTATCACATTGACAGAATGAGTGCCTTCTTGAATCATCAAATCCTGAAATTATTTTAAAATGAATTTCCTCTCCAGAAAGTAACTTAAATGTGTGAGAGATTAGAGACTAAGTAAAATCGGACAATCTGTCTTGGTACGCTTCCATTTACCCTAGTACAGAACTTCTCAAAAATCATGGCCATACGAAGTTTTATGAAGTACTTAACGTCAGTAAATGTTGGTCACTATATTTTAACCCATTGTTTCAAAGGTTATGTGTACAATATGAACCATTTACTTTCTGAGTGCGATAGTCGAAAGAATCACAGGTACACAACACTAAGATGGATAAGTTTACCAGATGACCCATTGTATCACACAGATAATAATAATAATATGCTTTATTCCAGAAACAGTACTAGTGGTACAGTGTGGAATTTTCAGCACATATTTACAATATGTGCATCTAATTTTACAAACATTTTAAAGGAGTATTTAACAAAAAGAAAATAAATCTAAAGACACCAACAGCAAAAAAAAACAACAGGAAAAACAGGATAAACACAAAAATAATTATAAATGCGAAAAAATACCAAGAAGTAGAAAGGAAAATAAACATCATATAATAATAATTCAGTATTGGGTAGTGGAAGCTATGATATGATTATGCATGGTGACAGTAAAGCTATAGTCATACAAGAAGTTACGAAATGATATTTAAGAATGTTTATCGCCAAGATGGTCAGTTAATTTGGTTGAAACAACTCTAAACAATCTTAAAATAACATTTCAGGGTTGTTGTTTTGTTTTTTATTGTCAGGTTTAATGCAGTGTTTATAGTGGTAGTGTGAGTAATCCTGAATAATACAAAAAATTTTTTTTAAGGTGGTGACTATGGCGTTCACAACCAATGATTGTCAGTTTAATATTGCCGAAAAGTATAGAAAATAAGAAAAAACAACCACAAAAGCTAATAATTACATGATGGTTAATGACAGGACAATTTTGTAATACTCATAGTGCTAATAGAGTCGTAACTAGTGGATACACAATAGAAGGAATATAGTAAAGTACAAAAAAGGAAGCCAATGTTAATAATTTAGGTAGCTAAGTATGTTTGAAGAAGGAGTTCACTATAGAATGCAAAATAAGAGAGAAATAAAAGAGCCTAAAATTATTATTATTAACAACAAAGCACGTCATAGGTTTCACGCTTAACATTGTCTCTGTCACTTAGAACACGGGCCAAGTATGGTATCGTTGAGTTCCTATACTTGGTTGTACGAGCATAGATTATTTTATACTGATTTCTGGTTTTACTTGATGAGATACAAGGCGAGAGTTGGGAATAGAGGGGGTGTTGGGGGGTCGGAGAGTATGGTTTTTGACCATTTTTCTCATGTATTCAGATGCCTTTCCACTAATGTAGTGACGAGCTGACTGAGTTTTACACCACTAGTCCTACTGACTACCTTCAACATCCTTCTCAGGATGGTATAGTCCTTTTTCAGTAGACCAGGAAAGACTAACGGAGAGCAGTAAAGTAGAATAGGTAAGATACAAGAGTTGACAAATTGTGAAAGTAGAGGTTGGGTGATTCCAGATTGTCTAAGTTTCTTAATGTAGTAGGTAAGACAGAACACTTTCTTAGAAATCGTTAGGATATGAGATGTCCAAGTAAGGTTGGAAGATAGAACTAGACCGAGGTATTTTGCATTAGACTTAGTTTCAATTTTAGTCCCCTCAATGCAACAGTCTTCATGAGAACTTACTAGTGTTTGTAGATCTTGTTTATGCCTAAGGGAGAATTAATTAATTAATCAATTAATTACCCAAAGTAATATTTCCCATAAATGTTTCATAAATATGCTGGGGGAAAACGTATATGACAACAAGAAGGTAAATCAGGAACAAACATGTTCAATTAAAATTAGTTTAAATTACCTGACTGCAAGAATCTGATTGGATGACACGTTCATTTTCAAATGTACCATTATTATTCGCCCGCACTACATGACTATTTGATGAAACTGATCCACTATTATTTTTACTTAGTGAAGTACAGTAAGCTGGTTTAGATTTTAAGTCATTACAGTCGGAACAATACTGTTGATCTTTTATTTCAGTGGTTTTAACGTTACGTTGGTTCCCAGAAAGAACAGTCTGTTCATCTATTAAGAAAAGAAGAAAAAAGGAAACAGAAAATAAATAACGTGTGATGTACGAGGTTAAGGAAGAATAGTTCCTAGCTAAAAATTGAATATTATTAACTGGTGCACAGACAGCTGGCAATGTGAATTATTCATCACCACTAATATGGTCGAATATGACCTCATTGAATTATTGTAAGCTAAGCAGAAATTGTCTACTACCGGACCAATTTTTATTTTGTCTATCATCACAGATTTACTGAGTTTTTCATTGCACTTTATGCATCTGCTGTAAAATGTAACAACAATTTTAAAACATATTATTATTTATTATTGTATCCTTTAATTCCTACAGGAACATAGGGCTTCAGCCGTACGTCTCCATTGCGTTCTGTTCTCTGCTAGAGTCTTCACCTGGCTCCAAGTCTGCCCACACGTTTTCATCTCCTCTTCACATGACCTCCTCCAAGTCACCTTTGGACGACCGACTCGCCGCTTCCCTTTCGGGTTCCACTCGAGGGCTTGTCTAGTGATGTCACTTGCTGGTTTCCTAAGAGTATGGCCAATCCATCTCCATTTCTTCCTGCCTATTTGTTTCACAATCGGTTCCTGCTGTGTTGGTTCGCTCCTAAAGATCCCTGTTGCTGATCTTTTCTGGCCGGCCATCTGATCTTGAGTATTGAGCGAAGACAACTGTTAATGAAGGTCTGTAGTTTGTTTGAGATGCTCTTTATGACGCGCAGTGCAAGTCTCTGATCCGTATAGTAGCACTGACTGACTTCACATTGGAGTTAAAAATCCGGATCTTATTTTTGATGCTGAGTGCTGTTGATATCCACACAGACTTGAGAGTAGTGAAAGCTTGTCTTGCTTTTCCGATTCTTGCTTTGATATCCTCGTCAGTTCCGTCCGCCTGTAGTTGAAACGATGCTTCCCAGGTAGGTAAAGGAGGTTGTTACTTTCAGGTTCCTCCCATTTATGCTGATTGTTGTCAGTTGTTGTTGTTGCTGTTGGTGGTGTTGCCCAGGGATTTTCATCACCTCTGTTTTATCTATGTTCACCTGAAGTCCTATCTTTGATGCTTCTTCTGCTAACTTGTTGCTTTTCGCTTGCATATCTTCCAGTTTGTGGGAAATCAGACATATATCATCGGTGAAGTCCAGATCCTCCAAGTTTTTTGTGTGTGTCCATTTTATGCCTGTTTCCTCATTGCCCACTGTTTGTCGCATTATCCAGTCTACTGCAATCAAGAAAATCATTGGTGATAGTAGGCAGCCTTGTCTTACTCCTGTCCTCACTTCGAAGGGTTCCGTAAGTTTCCCGTTGTGGATTACTTGGCATGCAGCATTGTCGTATAGCTGTTGGATGAGATGTATTATTGTCGGTGGCACCCCGTAGTAGCGAAGTAGTTTCCAAATCACCTCTCGATCGACGCTGTCATCAAAATATCATATCCTTCAAGAAAGTAGCAGAGTAATTAAATTATAATTTTATGTTATCAATTCTTAAGGTTGTTGATGCATCAGGGGATTAATTAGTAGAATTTCATAAATGTGCTACAATAAAGTTACACTCAGTACTTTGTTTGTAGAAAAGTGGCTAAACAGGCTGTAAACTACCATTATATGGCATATGGAGTAGGCATTTTTATATATCTACTTACAAATAATCATGAAATAGATGTTCTGAACTAACCAGCGTTAGTTAAGCGAAAACCGATTTAGAATTACAGGTAGTCTCCTGATTCACTAAACAGTGATCAAAAACAGAAACCAAACACTGTAAACTCATTCTTCAAACAAATAAAATAAGTAACCAAAGAATAAATTAAAATATTTTGGAATAAACACTATGGCCCGAAGTTTCATGGGTATCTTGAGCTTCCATCAGGCACCAAACTTAGTAAAGATCGGCACTGAACAGTTTCTAGTGAAATCTGCTAGCTCCCCTATGTTAATGTTATTACGTGTCGTGTGCTACTGACAAGATTTGTCAGTAGTACATTAAGAGACGCTCATTGGCACAAAAATATCAAATAGTAGAGGGATAGACTTGACGTCATAGAGAGGAAATGAACCAGTATTGCGGTGAAACATGGGAGACACGAAAAGAAGACAAAGAAACACAATACGAAGGGCAGAAGTAGCACAACACAGAAGACATGTGCAAATGACGATTTCCAGGTAAAGTGTACGTAATTTCCCTATATGTGTCTATCGAATTCCGAATAAACACTCTGTGACCAAGTCCCTTATCTTCTACCCTTCAAATATTCTAAGTATACGCATTTAGAAACAGCCGTGTACAGAAAGTAAGCATAAAGAAGTCATGGATTGTAATTCATAAATTTTTAAATTATAAAACTAACTTTGTTTCTGTTCACAGTGTTTTACTGTGACCACTTTCTCGTGAATATCATTTTTTCTGGGATTGTTATTCGGCATTCATTCACAGGTAGGTGACTCTAGTGAATTCTAAGAATGAGAAAATAATATTAATTCACTACAAATAATGCAAGGTTACTAGAAGGCATGATATGTTATGCGTATAGTGCCTTTTTTATATTGTGCGAGATAATATTTACAACTTGGTCGTCGTATCATTGTAGACACTGAGGTTGCAATTCATATCTGGTTGAATTATAATTACTTTACAGAAACCTAATTGTAGCTAAAATAAAACGCTCTGATAATTCATCAGATCACTAACTGTCTATCTTAGGTGCTGTTCAGGAATCTGTGTTTGGAGGCATTAGTTAACGCGACAATAAATTGGTTGAAGTTGTACTCATATATTTACTGTTTATCTTTCATGAAGTCTCGAACTCCTTAGTAATCTCCTTACACTTATTGCTATCTGACTTATTTTAGAGTCCATCTAGTGTTGCGTCAAGGCTTTTAGTGTCTAATGGCTCTTTTAGTTTATCTTGTGACTCTCCCATTTCAGTCTACAGCTGTTATTATGAAATATTTTCAGTTAATCACTGACAGTGTATATCAAAATTATTTAATCATGTTCTACTGTTATACATTAGTGAAGCAGCAGTGAGGTATGAAGAAGAAAAATTTCGGATTGGCAACACAATCGCGTTTATTAAAAGAAGAAGAGATGGTTAGAATGACAATCACAGTGACACGAAGGCAGAAAATAACCTAATAGCATCACGAAGTCACTTAGACCAAAGATCGTCAGGTATTATTCAGTAAGATATTTCTTTGACACTCAAAGTCAAGGAATGTATGCTTATACACAAAAATGAACATCGTAACATTATACAGTCTGAAGAATAGTTCAAAGTGTTCATACGTATTAAAATTTAAACTTAATGATTCGCTTTCCATAGAGAGTGTTCTAATCAATAACAGTAAGTAAACAACCATTACTAATCAATATTGTGCCTCTGCTGTAAAGTAACTTCAAGGCAACTGCACAAGTTAGAGAGCCATTGAAGTCCAGGGAGTACTTGACAGCTGTTTCGTCCCTGTTTGAGGTTCTTCAGAAAGGCACACCCACGACCTCACCACGGATCGAACCCAGGACCTTCAGGTTGAACATCCAGCCACTGGAATGGGATCCACTGACGTCATGGGCATGTCCTGCTGAAGATTCCCCGAAAAGGATGAAACAATTGTCGAGTACTCCCTAGATTCAAGTGGTTCGTGATCAAAATCGAAATCACTCAAATCCGTACAAACCAAAACTTGACAACTACATCACTTAGGAAGTTATTACATTTATAGAAAGTGTTTTTTTTACTGCACATTATGTTTACTCTTCGTACAACATTTTAATCATAAGTTCCTATGCATGCGAAAGTGTTTTATGTTGGCACATTTTCCACTAAATCCGTAAATTATTAAAATGAAACCTGTTAGGACAATAAAACAAACAACTAACCGTCCGATTCTGCAAGTTTCCGTCCTCACTCAGTTCCACTGATCGAAGCATTTTTCGAATTTTATGTTGAGCCTTCTTCTCCATTATAATCTACAGAAAAAACAGAGTAAAACGGTCAGTTTCCAGGTTCTGTTCACATATGATGAACAAATGTAAAAATTGAAGTACATTCACAAATACCCTGAGAAATTATTTTATTTTTCCATTTTACTCCTTCAGAAATAAGACACATTTGTATAGCGTGAATCTCTTGAGAAATAACAAAGAGGGAGTACTAAATAAGTTCTTCAATTAACTAAACACCTATTCAACTTGATATTGTGCAAATTTTGGGGAATGTAAATTCAGTCTTGTTTGCAAATTGAACAATCCGAATGATTATCATAATCATGTCCAGTCATAGTTGGCCTTTATCTCCTCTTACTAAATAAAAAAAACCAAAATCATTTCTTACATATACATCAATTGGATTTGAAGAATATAAGAATGTGAACAAAAAAGGATTACAGGGCTTCTGCTTACTCGGTGTGCAAATAACTAAACTAGACTGCAGAAAATCAAAATTCAATGCTAAGTCAACTTCTGAACAATGGAAATCGTTAACAGGAAAAGATAATCAGTCAGTCGAAAGAATAACTGCAAGAGAAATTAAGGGTATTAAAATTCACAACTGAATCACTTATAGAGAACTCAAGAAGGTTCAAAACTTTCATAGTCTGCAGTGAGGACATTTTTTAAAATATATGTGAAAGCTGTATGATAGAAAAATCAAACTGAGAAGACAAAAACCAGGAAGATTATAACTTTTCTTCTCCTAAAGTAGTGAATTTCAGAGACAAGTAATTCTTTATTGGTACTCGGGGGTTTTCAGCAGATACTTCAGTCTAGTTAAATTTTCTCTGTTCGCCGATATACTGGACGTCTTAGGCTAGAAAATAGGAAAGCAACTTATGAGTTGTTATGTTTCATCGGAGAAGTTTATAGTGGGGGTCATTATTCAGTTTTGGATGGGAAAGATAAACGTCAGTGTCAAGATATTGTAACAAAGCAATCTCAGTTATCAATGGTCTCTCCATAGAAACATTAATATGCTACAAAATGTTCTTTTCTCGAATTATGATCTGCCCATCAGATCAGGAAAGTTCTGCATTGATAATTCACTTCTGACTGGCTGACTGGATTCAACATAGAACTTGGCACCGAAGTGCAACAGTTCAAGTTGCCACGTTCCAAAGAGCACACAAAGGTAGACAAGAAAATGAGTGAAGAGAATCAATGGAGTTCTGACAGGTATAAGAGTGAAACAGAATGGGTAATGGTAGAAAGGAATATGAAAGATTACAGAGACTGAATACATCTGCGTAAGCCATTGACAACGATTTTCAGCCATGTCACCTATTGTCTCCAGCCATTGATTCTTAGAGTCCCGAGGGCCCCAACCCGGAAGTCTGCATCTCCCTGCTTGACTCAGTTTAACTGTCAGGGATTTCATGGATTGATGCCATGTTTTCTTTGGCCACCACTTACTCTTTTCCAACCTGCACCTATATCAGCTAGTAATGCCCGTCGTGGGAGGCGATGGCTAGGCATGCGCAGCACGTGACCTAGCCATCTCAATCTATGTGACTTTATAGCCTCGTCGATTGATTTTCCCTCTTTGCCCAACACTCTATGCCTAACGTCAACATTACTAAACCCTATTATGCCACCTAACGTGAGAAAGACATCGTAGACATCTATGATCAAAAACAGTCAACCTTTTCATGTCTTCAACTCGTATTGGCCATGTTTCAGAGCCATAGAGAAGGACGGAGCGAACTACTGAGCAGTGCACACGTCCCTTGGTTGATAGCCGGATGTCACGCTTTTTGGATCCGTGCTGAGATTTCGTCACCAATCAATCCGTTGGCGCTGATACAACTTCCCAAATAGGTGAAGTGGTCAACATGTTCTATCACTTCACTCCCTATCACTAAGCTAGGAGTTGACGTAGTCCAGTCCTGTAGTAGTATCTTACATTTTACAGGGGCGAATCGCAAGCCAAACATACGAAGATTGCTGCTCAAGGTGTTCAGAAGACTCTGCATTTTGTCAGCATCCTCCCCTAACAGGATTATGTCATCTGCATATTCTAAGTCCGTAAGACTATTCCCTGGTAACAAGTCGATTCCTAAGTCGTTAAGTTCAGTTAAGGATACTTCCATTGGCATATCTATGATGAAGTTAAACAGGAAAGGGGAAAGTGGACATCCTTGACGGACACCACTGGTTGTTATCGATTCACCTGATATCAGTATCAAAGTTCACTTTCATTATGATGACAAATTCTATTGACAGATTGATGAGTTAGATATTAGGAGAACACTTTGTTCTGTTTGCATAAATATCTTCTTAGAGAATCTAGAGAAGATAAAAACTAAAAGACAGTCCTAGAAATAATATTTTACATCATATTTGTTGATGATACCTTCATTGTATTCAGTGCATTATCTTTTACGTCCTATTTATCAGAAAAATTTGAAAGCAGATATAACACTACTGAGTACAACATAAAATTTGTGCAAAGTTTAGCTATCTGGACGTCGTCTTAGGAAGTAGGAAAGAAGATAAGCTTCAAAAATCCATTTATCTACCAAGCATGTGTATTGAAATTCATATGAATTTTATCAACTATGGTTCAACAGGGCACTAACAGCCATTATCGCAAATATTATTTCACAGATCGAAAATGATATACCCCAGTGATAAAATACAGGAACATTTGTAATTAGTATGGTGTCAATAAAACAAAGGATGTCTGCAACGCATATTAATGACGGAAAACAACAGATCAGGAAGAGGATGTTATGTAGGCTCAAGCCACTATTTGCTGCAAAGAACATTCAAGATTAAGTTGAAATTCTTCGTAGAACTTGAATTTAGACCACAAAACCCAGAAACTGATATAAGTAGCTTTAAACGACACATGCAGTGCAGGCAACAGGAAAGAGTGAGCTGCAAAATCACACAGGAAACTTATATGGAAGGACATCAGATCTCTCTGAAAATGATAAGAGAAGCCCGTATAAACATCTTGGGCGGGTATAAGAGGTGAAAAAAGGAATGACTGATTAAGAATACGTGAAATTTGATTAAGGAGAGTGGTATGGTGAAGAAGAAAATGAGCAAATGGAGAGATGAAAAACGAATTGAGGACCTGAAGTCAGTCTACGGCACACTGAACAAAGAGATGAACAAGAGTTCAGAGAAGGAAAAAAACACGATTTTATGACACGCTGACAACTGAAGTAAAACACGCCTCAGGTAAGAGGGACCTTATAAAAATATATCAAGTAACCAGGTCTCTATCCAGGAAGAGAGAAACATAGAGGAAACCAGCGAAAAACAGTGAAGCAAAGCTGATGACTAAAAAGGGGAAAACAAAGTAAACGATGCGCTAATCATTTCAAAGGACTTCTTAACCAACCATCAAACTACAACTGGTTCAGAAATAACACTACCACCAGCTGACGGAGAACTGCCGGAAACCACTAGTCCTCCAACAGAAGTAGAGTTCTAGAATGCCATAAAGATACTGAATGGTGGAAAACAGTAGCACTAGATCTAATCCCGTCTGCAGCACTCAAAACGGATCCACACACCTCTGCGGATATCCTCACACCACCAATGCAGAAAGTTTGGAAGGTGGGAAAGGTACCTACCGATCGGAAGAAAGGCTAGCTTGTCAAGCTACCAAAGATAGGAGACTTAGGCCTCTGCAAAAACTGGTACAGAATCATGCTCCTCTACACGTCAAGATAAATATTAATTCGTGTCATCCTGGAGAGAATAAAAGATGCGCTGCATGCAAAACTCCACCAGGAGCAATCTGCATTTACGAAAGGCAAATCATGTACTGATCAAATTGCAACTCTGTGCATCATCATGGAACAGGGTATATAATGGCAGTCGAATCTATTCTTCGAATTCATCGAATTAAGAGAGGCGTTCGACAGCGTTGACTGTGAAGTGATTTGGAAACTACTTCAACACTACGGAGTGTAGTGCCCAAATTTTTATCAAACTCATTCAATAGTTATATGACAACGTTGCGTGTCAAGTGATGCACAAGGGGAAATTCAGCGAAGTGTTTGCAGTGAATACAGGAGTGATACATAGATGGCTACTTTCGCTGATGATATTTCTGAACGTGGTAGTGCGATAAACCCTTCGGAAGCAAGTTGACAGACAAACATTGGACAAAGGAAAAGACTATAAAGCATCTGGACTTCGGGGATTATTATTTATGTCTCAAACCGCACATACTCGAAGATATGCAAGCAAAACTAAAAAATACTAGCAGAAGAGGTAGCGAAGACGGGACTTCTAGTGAACATACAAAAGACATAGGTAATGAAGGCAACTAACCACCACCAACAACAACAAGCATCAATCGCCATGAAAGGGATAGATCTAAAGGAAGTCAGTTCTTTCACTTATCTAGGCAGCATCCTTCCAGCTAGAGACGGCTCCGAGTAGGATATCAGAGGCAGGACCGGATAAGTGTGACAGGCACTCACCACCCTGAAATCACTGTGGAAATCTACTGCACTTAGCATAAGGAGCAAGATTCAAATTTTCAACACTAATGTCAAGTCAGTGCTTCTATATGATTCACAGATTTGTTACGCGTGTAAAAAAACTAGGCGTTTATTACTCTCAAATAAGCATTTTCAGCAGACTACAGGCTTTTATCAACAGGTGCTGCCCTTACTCCACACTGAAGATCAGATGGGTAGAAAAGACTGACAACAAGATAACTTTGGTAACGGACCAACCAAGAACCTACTGCCCAAAAACATGCAAAAGTAAATGAAGACGGATTAGATATATGTTTTAGAGATTGTCTGAGTGACACAGCACACCAAGCCATCTGGTGGAATCCAAATGGGAAATGACGACCTGGACGTCCGAAGATGATATGGAGAAGTTCATGTGTGAAGGAGAAGAAAGCCTATGGGTAACTGTGGAACACAGTGAGACAACATGTATTGAAGTAGATTCATTTATCAGTAACCAATTCTCATTGAGTAGTAGTAGTAGGAATCATAACTTAAAAACCATTGAAACTCACGAAGTACAGGTGAAACGCTGTTGTTATATATATATATAATTTTCCGAAATTTCTGGAGGTAAATTATTCCTTTTAGTGTTTTACCATACCATAAATTTATTCTCATGAGTTGGTGGATAAGAAAGAAAACAGACTCACAGTGAATCTGAAAATAACAGTCTACTTGAATGTTCTATATAAGTATTTGTTGATTTTCGTCACTTTCTGTCTGTGCTATTTAATGTAGAGCACATGTATGTATCGATGATGCTCACTGGCGACTGACCCTATTCAGGTAAGTAGTTACCTAGGCTCTAGTGGGAAGTCGTGACCAGTGGGATGCAGCAGGTCCGGTGTGAGGACAAATACTCGCCGAAGACATTGGCTAGTGATCGTGCCATGTCGTGAATTGGCAGAAGTTGGAATTGATCGACTGGCCATTGGATCGGGTCCTAGTGGCTTAATTGTCTACGAGATAGCTCACCTTGTAACCAGAAGGTCTTGGGTTCGAACCCTGGCGCGGCGGTGTGTGCATACTGCCGAAGAGTCCCAAACTAGTAGGACAAATCAGCTGTCCAGTACTCCCAGCTGGTTTTCCAATGGTTCTCTAACTGAAGTCAGCTCATGATAAAATCTCGTTACCAATCAATCAAATCCCTACAAACCAATTCTTGAATATGTTATTAAGAGTTACCATTTAATGTATGTATCTATCACTTTAGCTGAAAAAGTGGTTCCCGGACTATGTAATAACACCAAGAATATTTCACAGTTAGATACAAGATAATGAGATTCTATGGTGTCTGAACTGACATTTGATGGACTTGTATCATCACCTACATAAGTTAACATCAGCAACGAGCAGCTGAATTAATTAATCAATATCTGATGTGTTACACACTACAGAGAACATAATGCAGGGATTACGTCAGTTACAACGTTTTATTAGATAGATTTCAGAGAAGTAAATTTACAATATTCACGGAGGTAAAGCATGTTTGATTCTGCCAAAAACATACTCATTGTTCAGAAAATAGGTTAAGTGTTACACATATAGTTAAATAAGCCTTATTTTTTGATTGAAAAAGTTACAGTGCATTTAATTACCTCATACAATTTCTGACGATAATCTGATACACTCAACTGTTTATCATCCCTTAGAATAGGTGTAACTGGATGCTCCAGTACAATTTCAGATGCGGGATCACGAAATCTACTCAAACAAAAAAGGAATTGAAACACTAAATTAAAATATATATTGACTCCATTTCTAAAGTTTATTGGGTAAAAAGAAACTAAGCTGAAAAAAGCAATATTGCATATCTGATAAATAATTCACGAGTAGTGTGTGAGAAGAAATTAATATTGATAGTGCAAATATATGATCAGTAATGATTGATTTCATCCCCAACTCTTAGATGATACTGTTCAATAACAGAGGTAAGAACTTCGCATAGAAATTAGGAAAGTATTAATGTCAGGTAACTTGGTCATTCTACAGATTGTGGAGTAATTTTCTGTACTAGAAACACCGTTAAAACATTTTAATCATTATCAGTGAGTTGGATAAAAATGAGTCTTGCTGTTGAAATCGAAGTATCTTCTAGTGAGAGCAAATAAAAGAAACTTATGACATAAAGTTGAGCTAAGGTAGCTTTTAACAACCTTTATTTCTGTATAGCCTGGTACTGTGAAGCGTTAGTTGCAGGTTGTATACCAGCTTTAAATCGAATATAAACTGTAATCAGACATGAAATCTCTCTTGTTAATTAATGTTATTAATAGATAAAACTGATTCTTATTTTCGATATGTTGATGATACGTTTACTATTCTTGATGTGAAAGCTGACAAGAACGAAATGTTAATAAAATTTAATGATGTACATCCATCGCTCATCTTCACTTGTGAAGAAGAACATGATAGTAGACTACATTTTCTTGACGTCCAATTGAACAGAAGAGAAGGTGGTTCACTCAAGAGAGATGTCTATAGAAAACCTACATCTGTAGGACAATATACACATCTCCTCAGTTTTGTACCAATCCGATATAAAATCAATTTGGTCAGATGCCTCACGAATAGAGCAAGACGTATCTGTACAGATGACTCCCTACAAAATGAGTTAAGATACATCCAAAATACGCTGGTTCAAATGGGTTATCCTAGTAGATTTGTAAGGAGACACATGAACACCAAGTACAATAAAGAGAAACTGACAACAGTTGAAAAGAAACAACTGTTCATGAAATTGCAATTTAATGGGGACGTGGCTAGCGAAGTCTTACATCTGAGATTATCGAGAGCGATAAAACGGACTTATACTGCCGCCACCCTTTGTTTGGCATTTTCCAACTGACCAATTGTGATTGCTCAAGTGAAAGACAAGCTACCTAGCTGTGCCACATCTATGTGTATCTATAAATTTAGCTGCTCCTGTGGAGAGAGCTAAATAGGGTGAACAAGTAAGACAGCTTAACAAACGCATTAATGAGTATCTTCCTTTATGGTTTGGAAAAGGTCAAATAAAATTTATAAGAAGTTCTATTTTGGCTCATCTGATTGATAGTGGTTACCATGTGGACAAAAATAGTGCCTTCAAAGTTATCTATCGCATTCCATCGAGCCTTTCCAACGGAGTTCGAATCCGTCTTTTACACATAGCCGAAGCTATGGGAATTGATTCGAGAGAACAATCCTAGTCTTTGCATACAAAAGAAGTTTGTTCTACCTTTGTCTCTCCCTAGGCCTAGGTGAATTCTATTCAAAACCCTCCCACCCTTTCTTATTTTCCATCTTCTTCGTATTTTTATGTTATTTATTTAAAGTCTGTTTATCTGTCCGCTTCACGCTTAGTATTACGCAACTTTTAAGATTTGACCAAATTTATTTATTGAATTGTCTACATATACATGTATGTAATAATACATGTATTGTTATTCTTATCGCCACCTGTATAAACCTTATTATCAATATTTTGTTATCATTATAATCATCGTTATTAACTACGTTCAAAACATTTACCACATTATTATTATTATTATTTGATCCACAAAATCACCGTTATTGGTTAAAAATTTTTATATATAAATCTATGTAAATTAGAGTAAAGCCTGAAGAAGATCTAATTGAAAACAACAATATTGTTCCCTTATTATATGTCTTGTTATTAATTAAGATATATAAGGATAGAATCGAGGTACATTTCTGAAAGAATGGCAGAAACATTAACTTCGGAGGAGGAATAGTATGGGATGTTAAAATGGAGGTGGTGGGGTAGAGGAACTCTCATAGATTATTCCTGACGTGACGTGAAACCAGCATCAAGCTGAAGGAATTTTAGAAAATTGTGTAAGCAGATTACTGAAACAAAGCGAAATTCAACTCACATACTTTACTTTAGTATGCCTGAATTTAATACAAGAATATTGTAGTACAACAATTTATCTCAGAAGGATTTGTAAATATAAAATTCTTATGTTACTACCTACCTTTTAACATAGTTATGGTTTAATGCTTGTTCAACGGTCAAACGTTTCTCTGGATTTAACTGAATCAACTTTACAAGCATATCAAAAGCTAGTTCATCTAAACCATTGGGAAACAAAGTTTTCAACGGACGTTGTGGTCTGAGAAGTTGTAAAAGCAAAACATCAATATCAGAAATGAGACTATTTTATTATGAATTACAAAGAAAGAATTTCGAACGAAATTGACATACATACATTTCCCTAGTTATCTATGACAAACAATAGAAATCCCATTTCATATGAACAGTATGATAAAACAGCCCTTTAAGGTATTGTTATTTTGTTGTTTAACTTGGTAAGCAAGTCAGAATGTAAGAACTCTGTGATTTGTTTTTATGATTTATTGCAGGGATTTATGCTACTTTAAGCATATCAGGATAAATATTAGTTTAGCGTAGGTGAGAAATTTGCTATCTGCATAAATTAGTTGAGGTTTAGAAAACCTTCGGTTAGTAGTATGATCAAATGCATGCTGTTTAATTGTATTTTTTTTTCCTTTTCAGTATTTACATTACAGTTGTATAACCGAAAGAAGTCAGAAAGTACCATCAAACACATATTTTCTCCCTTTTTTGAAAATAATATCACTTATTAAATGCTGACAATAGTATCAAGTACTGTATGTACGCTGATTCGACACAAGAAAATATAGGCGAGTATCACAAAACTGCTTAATTTAAAATTATTCGATAGCAGACATGGAAAATCGAATTCATATAACAGTTAGCATTAAATACAGATATGAAATTAAGTTATTCTGATACTTCATAAATATATACGGTGCAGAGTAATCACAAAGGAAAAGGAAGCAGGTATTCCAAGTGCGAAAACACATTTAAGCTTGGATGAGAGCTATAGCTGATTTTACTTACACTTCAGGCATCCGTTCGGTGTTTCTACATCATTTCCTTTATGTTACTCAAATGCAGGCAAATACAACGACACCAAGTTGAACTAAGCAATGTATTCCTGAAGTTCGGATGCCTATTCTCACCTACAATAGTATTACTGTTCAGTAGAAATATTGTCAGAAGATGAATTGTAAATTTTTGTGTTCTTAATCACACAGACCATGTGGAAATAATCTGACCATTGCAGACATTTATACTAACACCATCTTTATGTCAGGTTGAAGCGAAGATAACAATATGAACAAATCCGGATGTCAGAATTGAAGAAAACGAAACCCATTAGAGAATTTCCAGTTGTTTCAAGGCAGAATAATTTGAAGAGATAGATGAACAATCAGCAACTCGAAAACTTGCAAAACTTGTAGCAAACCAAAGTGACATGATTCAAAAAAAAGCATTCAGTCATTACAGAAATATACAAAATGAGTTGCATTCAACGCTAAGTAATAATTATTTAATGAGTGCGCAAGGAAGACTATCAACAACGTACTTTTGCAATGCTTTTTCTAATACTGATTTACCATAGTCCGAACGAAGGCATTCAATGTCTGAAAAGCAACAGAATATACGGAGGATTTTATGAAATAATGCTCTAATAATAAGAACAGTAAACACTGATGACACTATAGCATAATGAAGAGCGATATTCATTCACTGTAAATATATATATATATATGGTTGAAAAAGAGTGCAAAGTTTTCACTATAGTACACATCAGAATGACATGAAATTTCTGTATTAGGTTACAGAGTTATACTCACTACATTCGCTGGCTTGTTTGAAAATTTACTCAGCATCAACCTAGGTGATGAATATAACGTGTTAACCGATACAGATACCTCTCAGGAAGTAGTAGATGATGTATCTATTTGTTGTTTTGTCCTGTATCAACGTATTCAACTGTGGGTATGTTGACCTGTTGTCGTGGCAATTTATGCATTGCAATTTTCATCCTGAATGTCACCAGTTTTAGTCCCATGCAAAATTTCTCAGTGAGATGATCTTGTCTTCGAAAAAGCTGTCTTATTATGAATTGCGCATGATAAAAATTTGGCATCTAAAACTAGTGGCAGACATCTGAGATAAAAGTAAGGATTTCAACTTTATCCCTCTAAGTGGGCTATAACAGTTAGTGGTAGAGAGAGAGAGAGAGTAAGCGTTCATTGTCCTTCTGGACACCATTTTCACACCTAACTCCAATGTGAAATGAACATTCGAGAATCATCATAGATGAAATTTTCATCTCGTCCCCCTTACCCGCTGATGATGTTCATTGTGATTTGTCGTCCCCATAGATTTTCTTATGATTTTATCCGCCTGTATTGACATTCATCCTCTCCCTGACCTGATGTTTGACATTTCAGTCGTATGACCTATGTTTTATTGATGTACGTTCAATGCAATAATCCTCTATATGAATAGATACAAGGAACAGTAAGTGGAATCACCAATATCAAGACTGATTGTTTAGTCTGTTATGCAAAGACTGGAAACCAAAGTCCTACTAATAAACACACCAAATGTGTATAAACTTCAAATCTACCTGAGTGCTAGGCCTCTAGGAATTTCTTTCTACTCTTTTTCATTCTCAAATTTTTCTAATTGGATGAATATCCACAACTGTCCACGCGAATTGATATGAAGAAATGCGTCTCATGGTTTTTAACTGCTAGTTTGTGTACATGGGTACGAAAATCAAGAAGACATCCGTTTCGGCCAATATTGTGTTTTTTCAGTTAATCGAGAAGATCTGTCGCTTGGATGGATGATTTTTATGTCGTGTTATTCTCACAATGAAGTCTGAACTGAAGATGTCTAAAAAAACAACGAAGTCTCAGCAATTAAGCCACCTAGCTCAGAGAACACAACTACATAGAAATAGTGTTGTTCATAGCTCGTGTATTCTATTTTATACGTGACGTGGGCTTTGTCTTCTTCAACTTTTGGGTCTTTTGGTTTACAGAGTGAAAAGACCATGTTGGCCTGTGAGAGACAACTATCAGTGTCCTAGTAATAATTTCTGAAATGTTTTTCGGGTAAGGTGGGATGATTTTCCCTCTCGTTTCAGAGAATGATTTTGTATTCTCCTGCTGAACTGATGACAGACCTCTTTTGCTGAAGTTTTTAGGATATTCATTTTTATGGAACATACTTGTATTAAGTCTCCCCTCTATTTCTTTCAAGGTGGAAGTACTGCAGTTTGCTGTGACTCTCTTTTCCATGGCATCAGGGTTTTGCTACTGTAACTTAGTATTTGGTCTGTATTGGTCGACTTTTTGTACTCTTTTGTTTCCAGTTTTCTTATATTTGTTCGTCTAACCAAGATACTCAAAAATGAGATTTTGTTCTCTGGTTAATGTTTTCTTCTAATTTTGATGTAGTCCAAAACACTATTGATTCGAGTGTGGCTGATGTTTAGATCATTTCTTTTAATTGTGAGAAATATGTCAATTAAGTGAGATTTCCAGATTTTTGGTTTGGTTATTAGTAGGACTGTGGTTTCCAGTCTTTGCGTAACAGACTAAACAATCAGTCTTGATATTGGTGATTCCACTTACTGTTCCTTGTATCTATTCATATAGAGGATTATTGCATTGAACGTACATCAATAAAACATAGGTCATACGACTGAAATGTCAAACATCAGGTCAGGGAGAGGATGAATGTCAATACAGGCGGATAAAATCATAAGAAAATCTATGGGGACGACAAATCACAGTGAACATCATCAGTGGGTGAGGGGTACGAGACAAAAATTTCATCTATGGGGATTCTCGAATGTTCATTTCACATTGGAGTTAGGTCTGAAAATGTTGTCCAGAAAGGTTGTGTAACAAGGCGTTGAAGCTATCCAGTTGAGTCAATGCAATACCAAAAATATCCACATGAGCAAAAAATCTTTATAAGATAGCACAACATATTGCACAGCTGCTTACGATTGAAAGCATATCTTAGAAGGTCTCCTAAACTTCTAGCTTCATCTGCAGTTTAACGCACTGTTATTCAACGTTATTCATTTCATATTTTAAAGTCTTCTACTCAGTTTCAATCAGAATAGGAAAAAATGGTCTGCAGTTAACAAATCGGGGTTTCTCCTTAGTCTCGCTACTAACCACCTTTGAGTACTAGTATTTTTGAAGAATATACAGAAACAACAGAAAAGGTTGCTAGTAATGTACACTAACTATTAGATATTGCAACCAAACAAGCTGTCTTCAGTGTGACATATTTTGTCAAGGATGTGCTATTCACTTTCAGGCTGAAGCTGAAAATTTTTAAGCGTGACAGAATCTTACTTTAAACAAACACTGATACAACTGGAAAAAAACAACATCACCAGTTCTGTTTTCTTAGATTTTAGACTTCTAGTCTTATTAATTCGTGGATAGTAACATAATCTATCTAGAAATTATATTCTGTTTCAGTTTGAGCAAAAAATTTTAGAATTTTTCATGCATAATGTCACGAAAGGATTTAGAAGATATGTGATGAAAAAAACGAAAGCGGGATGAAATCGACGAAACAACTTCTTATTGTCGATATGTCGATGACATATTTGTAGCGTACAACAATGAAAGTCATGCTTCCTACCTACTCAGATTATTCAACGACGCATATAGAAATACTGAATTTACTATATAACATGAAAATGATGGAAAGTTCCATTCCCTTGACATTTCCATGCAACACCTGGAAGATGGTAGTCTCCAGAGGTCAATTTACCGAAAGCTGATATGGAATGGACATTACTTAATACATTTTAATAGTTTTATCCAAATAGCTATAAAACAGTACTAGTCAAGACTCTGTACTATACAGCAAGGAGAATATGCTCTGCAGAAAAATTACAGGAAGAATTTACGATTCTTGAAAAGATGTTGAAAAACAACAGTTACCCTCAAAGGTTCATTAACAAGTACGGAAGCTCTGAAGGCTCAAATGTCAAGCAGATCACAGCAGAAAAAGAGCCCATCTACATTCAACTTGATTTTAAAGGTGAAAGTATTACAGCAATTGTCAACAGAAGACTGAGGACGTCACTATGCAGAGCCTATCCTGCAGCTAAGTTGGTTCGCATCTATCGGACGACATGCTCTTTGGTGCAATCTAAAATCGATAGATATCCTTCACATGTTAACTCCAGCTGTATATATAAATTTACGTGTATCTGCGGGAGAAGTTACATTGGGAGAACAGAAAGAACGGCATACCTCAGATTTTCTGAACATGTACCAAAGCCTATGTCTAAAGGGAAAAAAATGCTTCAAACAGTGTCATTGCCAGGCATTTCCTTGATACGGGTCATGAGGTGGAGGTCGCAAGATTGTTCAAAATTATCAATAGGCAAGAGAGTTCAATTCTCCTTAAGTTTGCCGAAGCAATCTTCATCAAACGCCTGAAATCCGATTTATGTGTTCAAAAAGAAGTGGTTATCAGTCTTTTCTTGCCCCGGTAACTGGATATTTTTACCCTCTCTTTCACCTGATTACGTAATGTCGATCATTATTGTTCGGTGTAAAGTGTTTATTATTATTAGCATTGTATGCATATATTGATTGATTTTTGTTTCAAAATGAACTCTGTGCAAGTATGTAAAATTTGTTTCTGTAGATATACCTAATAATGACTTTGGCCTGTAAGCAGCTGATGAGAAGCCAACGAAATAAATGATGGTACCATTTTATTCAGCAAAAACTGTTGTTCTTGCTTTATTCGAATGTAGATTTGTTGTGAAAGCCATAGAACAGAAGAACCAAACAGTGAGATTCCAATTTCGAATGTCTTGTCCAAGAGAACAAGTAGGGGAAATTTAGAAAAACAAGTATAGGGAAACTCATACGACTCATATCGAATGATCAGTTGCAGCTGCAACATTTTAACAACACACAGAACAAGTTGTACACAAACATCATTCAAAATAACCAGTATACACTAAAGCATTCCTTTCTTAGGAGCAATGTAAGAAGACATGTTACAGCCACCTTCCAAAAAATGGATCTTCAAAAATCTTTATCAAAATATATCTTCCGTCGGAGCAACTTACAAACACAAAATCAATTAAAACCACAAAGAAAATCGTCCCAATATATATGGATAACTTTTCCGAAATCGCCGCCAGAATATTGAAATCCTTTGGAATAGATATAGTTCATAAACTAAGAAAGACTTTTCAATCCATACTACAACGACCAAAATATACAGCGACAAACGAAGACAAAGCTGCCACTTTTCATAAGATAAATAGCATCAAGCGTGAAAAACATTATATTGATCAAAGTGGATATCTTTGTCATCGTATACACTAACAGTGAAGAGACATGGTACCTAATTCTTCATTTCAGTGCACACGTACAACTATGTACGCCAACTGGACTAAGAATGCACAAGAAGTTCTAGGACCGTGGTATTTAGATGAATATGTAACTAGGAGGTATATTTATGTAGATAAAATTTATCAGGAAATAAAGAAAGAACAGGTATTCTCCATCATCTCAAAGAATAAGTAACACCATCTTGAAGGCTTTCACAGAAGCTGGAGATACAGTACAAGGCATCACAGATGAGGATTTCAAAGCCAGTTCGGGTAGCATTAGGAAGACAAGACAGGCATTCATTACTTTGAGACCAATGTAGGGATCCACAGTACTTAGTCAGTGCTTCTATATGACTCACAGATTTGTTACGCGAGTCACAAAAGGGGGCGTTTATTACTCATAAATAAACATTTTCAACAGACTACAGGCTTTCATTGACAGGTGCTGCCCTCACTCCATACTGAAGTTCAGATGGCTAGGAAAGACTGACAACAAGGTAACTCTGGTAACGGACTAACCAAGAAGCTATTGCTCAACAAATACGCAGAAGGAAATGGAGCTGAGTTGAAAATACTCTGAGGAAACCGTTGTGTAACATCGCATATCAGGCACTCACGTGGGAACATGGGAATAGACGAGTAGGCAATCAGAGGGTAATACGGAGGAGGAGATCGTGTGAGGTGGGAATTAAAGCTTGTGGGCAGTCGTAAAGCTGGCTAATAATGACGGTAGAGTACAGAGAAAACTGGAAATGTGCAACTGAAGCCGTATTTTCTACTCAGAAACTGAGAAAAGAATAATAATTACAGCCTTTTTTGCTTAACGCTGATAACAAATTAACATGAAATTTACTACATTAGACACTAAATCAAGGATACTTTGAACTGACCTTGCATACTTGGCCTTTCTACAGCGGAAACGATTCGTTCAATTTGATTTATTGTCGAAGTACCAGGGAATAATGCCTTGCCAAGTAACATTTCACCTAATATGCAGCCTAAACTCCACATATCGACATATTTTGTGTAACTGTTTGAAGCTAGCAGAATTTCTGGTGCACGATACCACCTCGTTGCCACATATTCTGTTAAACCAGGGTTCTCATTATCATCATCCCCATCTATAAACGATTCTGCAGATGTTGCACGATTTTCAGAAATGCTGGCCAATGAACGTGTTAACCCGAAATCACATAATTTCACTAAACAATCAGAGTTTAACAGAACATTTGATGGCTAAAAATATAAATAAATAGATATGCAATGAAACGCATCATGATATATATATATATATATATAAATTCATAGTGTTAGTAAATATTAACAAGGTTTTCGTTTCCTACGTTTGTTTCTACAGTTCCTACTTATCAGACACTAAAAGTGGATTGAAATCCACGCGTGTTTGGCTTTATAACAATTCCTTGTGCTATATTGCAAATTTTTTAGCGTGTAAACACGAAGAATCTTTAATGGATTATTTTGATCAGATTTATCTCAATAAACAATGCACATATTCATGTGCACATCAGAATGTAGACAGCTGATTAGCTCCTAAGGTAAAATATTGTTAAGTATTACAAAACACTGAGGCAGTGGAATGGAACCCAAAACATGCAGAGGTATACTAAGATAAATTGGAAGACGTTGAGGAGTGAGAGCAAGAAGAAACCATTATTCGCTAACGAATCGAGAGATTTTGAAATTCACACCATAAAAAGTAGTGCATGAGAGTGCACACAGGTAGTTGACATAAGTGTAACGTTTGTTAAGTCACCAGATAAATCGTAGTCTAAAACTGGTCAACTGGTATCCAACTATTGATATCAATCAGTATTGCATGCTATCAAGTTGTTTCATTTGCTTTCAAACAATTCACATACTGTAATTTTGGTCTTCCAGAGGAAACCAAGGTGAATTATGCTCTTGAATTATGCATTTTGGAGATGAAAAATACTAACGTTGCATAATGTTGATAATGGCCAAGATGGAATACAGGGACAACAAATTAAGTAACTGATCAGTAGACCCTCTGCTGGACATTGCCAGAAAACGATATATATATATATATATATAGTTATCAGTGTCCAACATAGAATTACTGATACCTTATTCGACCTGTCGCCCAACATACACGTTTTTCAAAATAAGATTATGTGGATAAAAATATGAATGACTCCAACGGAGTGAATTACTACGCTGGACTAAATAAATAGTCTTTGCAGAGATAAATTAAGGAAATTATTATTATTAATTCCTTGACGTTCCCAGTGGAACATAGGACTTCAAGCTAGAGGCTTGAAGTTTCTGTAGCAGTGTTTATTTTTACAGGATGGGGTTACTAGCCTCATGCTCAACCTTTCCTCCTTACCAGCTTTATTTCTGGTTTAGCGAGGTAAAGGAGTGCGTCGGCCGGGGATCGAACCCCGGACCATGTGCATGGTCGGTGAGGAAAAGTTACTTCAAATTTAACAAAACTGAAATCCTATCAAATATGAACATCTGATACAGAGTGATTTAAAAGTATGGATCACAACCGTATACGGCACTCATAAGGAATGCACACTGATGACTATTTATACGACTGAATTCGTGGCCACCAAGTTACCCTCCTTTACCTCGCTAAGCCGGTAATAAGATTGCTGAAATAGGAAGGTTGGGCATGCGGCTAGCAACCCCATCCCGTAAATATAAATACCACCGGAACTTCAAAGCTCCAGCTTGAAGCCCTGTGTTCCACTTGGAAAGTAAAGGAGTAAAAAAAGTTATCTAAGAAGTAAGCTACTATTTAGCTAGTACTTTAGAATTCGTTATCATGTGAAGCAAGAAAAAAGGTCGAAAAATAAGTGAGAATCCGTTCTGGATTATTTCCCTCATAACAGTTCTTAAGATTACATCTTTCTACTAAACAAAGCCGGAAAATTTATCTGGTCGATGGTAACCGAATAATGTCAATTGACTAGTTTTCAAGAAAAGTATACATTTATAGTCTAACCTAGGTAGTAAAATGGTGAGAAGAAAGTCTGAAGGTCTTACTACACGATGTTTAGAAAGAAGGAATGGGTACTTAACAGTGATTTAGTACTCTTCGCTTCTCAACTGTTTTTCAAATGATATCATTTTGACACACAGGAGGTTGTACAAAACCTTACCAGTCAAAGTTGTAATTGTTTGTGAAGGCACAGAAAATAATTATATCAAAATAATCCTCGATTATATGACAAAATCAAGAAATAAACAGAGTTTTTGTGGTAAAACTAACTAATACATCTGTATAGCTATAGTAGACTGAATACTATATCGTCAGAAAATTGTATCACAACTAATCATTCAAAGAAATACATTTTTGATAGGCCGTGCTGGTCCGACCAGTTTGTGGCCTTTATTCTCTCTCCGCCTGATGATTTATATTCCATGAGACGTTAGACAAAACGCAACTTTTATAGTAAAGAAGCGAGTACATGTAGATTATTCATCTGAAGTGGGTGTTAAAACGAAATATTTTAGAATGGGAGAATAAGACATTCAAGCAACCAGTATTTTGTCTGACCCACATTTTTTTACAATGTTTGTTGAATGTTATTTTGACTGATGAAATATTAGGGTAAAGACATGTGGAGAAAATACAATCATCAGTGAAATAACTTTTTGCATATTTCAGTATCTAGGTGAATAATCTGTACAGTCATAATTTATTATTCTATAACTGACTGGTTAAGGCGTTCAACTTTCGAAAATTTAATCAAAGTTTCGAACAACACGCTTAATAACTTGGTTTCTTAGTTGCATTACTTTAATGTTGCTACTAGACTAAGTAGTTTTTGTATAGTCGAAAGGTTAAAATTTTTAATCACAACATTTCAGCTACGCCTATTTATTTTGTTGTCATAGCAGAGTTTAAGGACAAGCAACTGTAAATGTTTGAAGAGATTCCAGTACACTGCATTACAATGAAGCAAATATATCTTATATATCATGAACACATTCAGTGTGACATATTATAAAATATTTTATGTGGAGTGGACGTTCTGGCAAGCAATTCTATTATCTGAAAACAGTCAGCAATGCTTACTATTCGAGAGCATATTGTTCATGAATTTTTCATTATAATAAATGAAAGCAACAAATAAAATATGAAATGCTGAAGTGATAAGCACTAGCATTTTTCCCGTTTAAGTTTATTAAGACGAGTAATGTTGTATCGGTATGAGGATAGAATTTAAACTGACAGGCAGAGTGATTTGTGAAAACGTGATACAGTCTGAAAGAGTAGTATTTTCATTGTGAGGTTACGTGAATCTACAATAATTAGGAATGAGTTGGGTTGCTGTATTGCTTAAGCTATTTTCTTTTTTGTATAAAACTGCTTTTTCCATTATAGATCATTTCAAATTGAGAACTAATTCTTTTTTCTTTTTGTCGGAATATTGAAGCAATTACGAAAACAGTTGTGAAGGTGACTTCACTGAGATACGACAGTTATAATGTCTTTTATTCATGAATAATAAACACACAAGCTTGCATCTCAATAATTTATGGATGACGGAGGTCTGTTTTCCAAAGCAACTTCATATTTCAAATAGTCCTAAAGCTTACCGTACTTAGAACTTCTATTATTATGAAAAAAAAACAGGCGCTCAGAACACACTTCAAAAAATTAACGTGTATGGTACCGTAAACATGATAATCTACTTCATTCATCAATGATATCAAAAAATATTTTATTCATCATTATTTTTAATTGAGAAAATAAAGTCCTAGCACACTGCTTATGGGATGAAAACCATTTATTTTAGTTTAAAACCATCTTCCATATTGGCCTGAAAACCTATTGTTGCATTTAAATTTCGCCATAAAAGTGAGGGATAGGATTTCACTTTTGTCGATGTTACCATGAAAGTAAATCATGGACTAAGGGGTCCTTGACCTCAAAAGATATATATATATAAATACTAGAGAGATATTGTTAAAAAATTGGACAATGAGGGAATTAAAATGGGTCAATATATGTAAGTGAGCTTATCAATAAATACACTGAGATGCTAAAGTTAATTAATAACTGTGCAAATCGATGGGATTTCGAATAATTGCATTAAGAAATTTATCAAAAAAGCCATTCTGTTATATAAATTGGTTGCCGCTGAAAGTGTTTACCACTGTTTCTGCCTAAAGAGGCGGGGTAGTGGGAGTCATAGTAACAGGATTCTCATATGGTACTAACTTCTGATGAAAACTGTTTTACATCTTTGACAGCACTTTCTTCTGATATGTTTAGTTATTAACGTACTAACTTATTGCCCACAAGCTGCTTAACATCCCAAAGTGAACCTGCAGTTATTCCATTAGAGTGCATATATTGATCTTATTATGGAATTTCGACGCCCATTTCTACTAAACGGTACACTAATAAAGTCTTATGATATGAACCCGTTTTAAACTATCATTAATTATGAAGTTGTGTGGTATGTGGTGAATATATCAGTCTGAAGTGTAGCTGATGTATATTATTTATAGTGTACGATTGAAAGAATGTTCAAGGGAAACAAACTAAGACATCACAACAGTCCACTGAGTGGCTAACTGCAAGTAAAAACAATATAAAAGGTAAGGGTTTCCCCAATAAAACTATTAAGATGTTAGAACTCTGTAACTGGAGCTACTAACCTGAAATTAAATGCAGTTGGCCAGAAGTATTCGGTCTCCAATGAGATCGAAGTTATAAGCGTCTTACTACAGTAGAGCAACTATCTACCTCGTATTCAACCATTTACACGTTAGTATTTCTGCTGAATTTTTATTTTTGTTCAGTTAAAAAATGTGACGACTTGAAATAATGAAGTTTTAAGCAAACTCCCACATCAGTGTTTTTCTGTTTTCCTATCTACTCATAACTCATAGCCTTGGAAATTTATGAGTAATAACTTAAAGTAATGACTCTGTCACAGTTTTATTCGAAATGGTAAATAATTTAAATACGTGTTAATATGCAAACTGCATCCCATGTGACTTAAATGGTAGCCAAGTGTGTTTTCCCAGATAGCGCAATCCACACTTTGTGTAACTTCAAACCTTTCCGCTTAAGTTAAATAAGTTTGATAATGACGGAGCCACTCCATATTCACTGAATTCCAATCAGTTCATTGTTAGTTTTCTGAACAAACCTATAGCAACACTAAACTATATATGTCGAGCGAGCAGAATTTACTGGAAAAACACTTCTGGAGTTGCCAGACTAAAAACAGATAAATTAGACTAATTAATGTCAGTAGTGGAAAATCATTTGTTCATTCCAACAGTGAATTTTGCATTATTTTGAACCCAAGATAATATTTTAATGGAAGACTTGCAAATGTGAATAATTATGCACATAATCATTAGTAAGAAGCAAGACCCACAGTGCGCCCCACAAAAAATTAATACTGCAATAAAATGAACAGCCGATTAGTAAGACACTGGATGTACAGATTCACTACTGGTCACAAAAGTGTAGTCGAATCTACAATTGAACTACTGTAAATAAATAACCGATTTATCAACGCAACAAAACGCCCGTGAGTTAACAGGCTACGGTTCGTATTAAAATGAAAAGTTCAAATGTCTTACCTTTAAATCACGGTGTATTACGTTCCCAGAGTGGATGTATTTAATTGCACGAAGCAGTTGATAAAAAATAAACACCCTATGTATATCCTTTAAGATACCTCCCTTCTTGATGCAGTTATGAAGATCAGTTTCTATCTTAATAAAAAAATGAATTTGTTTTACCCATATATTCAAACACCAAGTATATATCTTTATCATTTTCCGCTCTTATAACATTAAGAAGTCGAATAATGTTTGGGTGCTGAGAAAATTCTTGTAGGAATGAAATTTCACGAAACGTTCGCTTGAAAATTCTCTCTGTAAAAGAATATGGCGCATACCTGGGCATCTGTTTGATTTCGAAAGGCATCAAATATCTTTTTCAATGCAACCGTTTTGCGTGTTTTCCTATTTCGAGCCTTCCAGACGATTCCATAGGCCTACACAAGACAATAAGACCTAATTTTACTAACCCCCTTCCCTAGACGCTTCAAGATTTCATAGTTTCTTAGAATGACTGGTTCAACTTCTAAATGCATCATTGCATTCTCATTTTAATAAAACGGGTACTCTGTGTGACCAATAGAAACGAGTTAAAACAACACAATATCCGTATGGTATCGAGAAAAAGATTGGATAGCTCAAATTATTAGTTTTTTCTCTCTGATGATCAAGAATAGTCCTAGATTCCTACACGACTTTGGAATCGATATTAGTTTGGTAGATTTTTGTCTCTGTCTCATTTACATTTAAACTGATGTTTACGAATAATTGTCAGGCCTGCATACTTTTTACTTGAATCTCACTGAGACAAGTTCATTGTGGGTAATGATTCTAGCCTTACATTTTCTGCTCTCATATAGTCTTTAAGAGTGTTTTTTACTTTCCTCTTTTCACAGTGTGCATGCTCTAACAAACCTAAATGTTTTTCCATAAAAATTATCATTGATTTAGTTTTTGGCCTTCATGTTTCATCTGGGTGCAATATACACTATGAAAGAGGGGAAAGAAGCACGAGGGTCAAAGAATGGATACCTGAGTAGTCTTCGCACTTTGAATTCAATGTCATAGACTGTCATACAACCACTCGTAGATATCGTGTTAATTGGAGGAAATTCAATTTTCCTTTGAAGTTTTACTTCTCGATTGATATTCGCAACCAGCTGCGAAGTGGAGCAGATCGCTAAATTATTCCCAAACATTGTTATCCCTTTGTGTCATCATCATTCAACACTAGATGCCGACTTTCACTGTTCAAGCTGAGGGTATGAGTTCAAATAACATCTTATTTAGTGTGCTGTCATGCTACGTTCGGTGCCACTGGGTTAGTTGGGCCAAGCTGGAGAGTCATCAGGGAATGTCTCCACAGTTAAAGTCTAACAGCATAGGCGGCCACACAATAACTAATTAAAGTCAACTGGAAACGAACTCGATTTTGTTAGGGCAGTGTACTGATTAGCTCCCTAAAACTCTTTTCCCATTACATATGTCTGCCACTTTTTTGACACTTTCATGAAATCTTCATTTACCTTCTTCATCGAAATGGATTCCAGGCGAGAGTCGACAAGGTTCAACGCTATATTTCTGACGACTGTATGTCTGGGTTATCTGGAAAGGCCTTTGGCACAAACTCTTTCATGTTATCCATTTGCTATGCTAACGTATTTGCAAATTGTGAATTTGATTTCATTCTACATTCATATTGTACCATGCGTTTCCATTAACTTGTTTGGAATTCGACCTTGGAGTTCATCAAGGGATACCTCTAAGATAAGTCCGCATGGTGGTGAATACTTAACTTGGTATCCATTTTCACACTTCTGTAACCACTTTTTGTCTCCATCCCTCCATTTCCGTTTCAGAGGATTTCAAAATGATGATAATTTTCACAGCAAGTAAGGGTTTGGGTTTCCATGTAACACGGTCTAATACTAAAGAACTACTCAAGGTTCGTTTCGACATCTCTTTTCTCGCTATATTGTAAAATCTCAGCCAGGTATCATAATTTCATTCATTCTGGCTGTTGAATAAGTGGTTAGATGGTTTCTTACAAATGTACTATGTAAAAGCTGCTGGCAAAAGCCAGAAAACAAGCGATACAACAACTAGACTAGCTGAGATACTGTTGAATCTGACCTTATTATGCATAATAAATATATCCTGGAAACATGTATTATGTGTTTGCACATCAGGTATCAGGTGTCCAGCTAAAGTCGCCATGCATGCAAGGAAGTAGAAAATTGTTCTGACTTCACCTAGTATCTTATCTCTAAGTTATATTTGTCGCTTTACCAAATTATGTCGTCGATATATTTACCAACCTTAGGAGAGCACATACATAATCGGACGGAAGGATTAACCTTTTCTACATCAGAATGTCACGAGCGAATTTTCTGGATAGCATATCTGTGTGGATGAAGGGCAACCCTCAGATGACTGGTAAACTTTATGAAACCTTATCAATGGATGATGTCTGTCAGCCTTGAACAATAACATCTTGAAAATGATATACATTTTGTAGATCTGGTGAATTCCAACTCCCGGCTAATTCGCTGAACCAATGAACAGTGTGGACTGATTCTCTCTAATACGGCATTCTAGGTGAAACATCAGTTCTTCATTCAGACAAGTTTAAATTACTTCTTCCAGTAACAGTCTGTGTTAGTTGCAGCAATAGGTTCTTTGCAGGCTTGGTATCCACGGTTTATGGACAGGAATCAAATGAAGGTGTTGGCTGGAAGAATGAAGAATTTTGTAAGCTTTCTCTCCGAAGATTAGATATTCGTCTTTGACTTCGAGCAAGCACTTCCACGGACGAAGCTGTTTTCAGTACATAACTTTACATATCCTTTGTTAGTGAAAAATTGTAAATATGCTTACTCCGTGTATATATCACTTATCATATTGGTGATGCCTGTAAACTGGCGTCCCTCATGTACATGAAGTGGAAATATATTATTATTATAAGTTGGGAAGTATTGCAATTGTAATTTACTTCAACGAACACGTGATCGTGATCTTAATTCCCCCAGGTGATTTATATAGACATTTCCGTTGATTTCATGACAGACGGTTATGCGACGACTCTGGAAAATGGAAAAGCTTATAAGGTTGCTGGTAGTGAGTGTGAATGAATTGTCAAAAAGCAGTAAGTGACAGAATGGAAATATGCGAGTCACTCGCACGAGGAATATACGAATAATGGGTATTAGCAATAATAATACCCACTACAGTTTCAATTTGACTGGCATCCGAAAATTTTAATAACCTAGTAGGGAATTAATGGAACGGAAGACGTCCGGCAGAATGAATTAGATGTCTGAAACTACCAATCGATTTTGAGGCTGCTGAATATCAGTGGCGTTGTTACGAAACAGATGCTAGGGACTGTAGTACCGAAAGTTAAAGAAAAACAATATTGGCAACATTTTGATAATTGGTGTGCCCGCAAGTATGTCCAAAATCAGATGGAATAATGCTGACCACGTAAAGCTGTGCTGTTTTTTAGGCTGCTTGGAAACTTACAGCTATATCTAGCGGAGCAGTCAGCGCTGTTGAAAATTCGTAGGGGCTGTCACTCATACCCGACTTCATGGTCAATATTTTTTGACCGAAAGTTGTGACCTGGTTTTGTTGATGAACTGCTACATGACGAGGGACTTCCGTAACCTTGGTTCTAACTTTGTTTTCGGTATGATACAGATTGAGGCTGATTTATCAGTCAGGAAGTATAGACAAGAATTTTGGCCTTGAAATAGAAGATGCACCGCTTCTCAGCAGCTGAAACCTGAGAAAGTGTAAGTGGTTTCCAAGTTGCCTGTGAGGTGTTTTGAGACAGGCAAACGGTTGTATGCATCTCCTTTTATTGCGCGACACCTACCGGTGATACAAACAGAATTTTTCTGGTTATCTAGGTCATAAGGTTCTGCCTCCTGACCTAGGTAGTTGTCTGCTATTAGGTCTATCTTTCTTACCCTGTCTTAGCAAAACTTGTCTTTCTGATTTCATTAGCGGTTTAACCATGGGCACAAGTGCCGAGATCGTTGGGCCGTTCTCCATACCCGTATGGTTAACTCGTCATTCTGTGAGGCACCCCCTCTCCATTATTTGACTTTAGATTCGTGATATCTACTCAGAGGTGCTGTCCGGATTTTTGGCATCCAATGAATACTGCACATATTCCGGAAGGGATTGCATCCAGACATGCTGCAGTACGCCTTCTCCCAACAAATCCTGCAAGTGGTGTAAGAAGTGTAATGGGGATCTCCTTCTCATAGTCGCCGCTCAGAAATATAATTTTTAAATCGGATTTCACACGTGGAAAATGAGACGCTTTAATGAATGGATATTAAACTAAATAGAACGTACAAAAGCAGTTTCGGGAAATTAACCAAAAAACAATGCGTAAAACGTGGTAAATGTTATGAAATGGCAGGCGTATTGTGAACCAACATCGGTAAGACGTGTTGACTCAATAAACTGGCAGCAACTGATACCGCTACGAACTAAAAAACTCGACTTGACTGGGGGCAAGCTACCAACCTATAACTCAAGCTACCTGTGGAGTGGTGGATCAGTATCAGAGAAGCAATTTCTTAAGCAGGTACACACGCCTATTAACAACATGAAAAGACTCTCGGAACCTTTATTAGACCACTGCTAAAAGCAGTTTATATGGCTTGCAAGATCAGTATCTAGCATTACCAGTCATGTGGTCAATGTTGTCCGTTTACACCGCTGTATCAAGTACAGCGAAGTCTCGAAAGGAACACCTAGCAACCAAACGCCGTATGGCACCCCGCTAAGAAAACCCAGTCACAACTCCTTATGATGGTGGCGACCAGAATCTAGTTAGGGAACTGGCTGGACTCTTAGATGAGCAGTGCCAGTGAGAATGTTTCACCAATGTAAAATGATGCTCGTATTTAGAAAACACCTAAGTATTACAGTATTTCGTCTGAACCATAGGCTTCTGTCTTACTTCTCAGGCTGGATATAAGGGGTAAGCAGGTGATTTGCGAAGAGTAGTCTGATTTTTGTTACGGCTATAAGTGCACTGATAACATGTTCACGTTTGTCACTTACTAGAACGTTATCCCACGCACTGCAGGTAATTTGCTGCTTGTCTCTCCTCTTCTGTTTGCCTTGTAGTGAAAATTGCACAGACCTACAGTAAGGCTGAAGTTAGACAGGACTTTAGCCACTTACGTGCATGTGCCACACCATTCTTCAAGCTGTCAGCTCATCATAACTTAACTTCCTTGAAAGCTCCCGTGCTACTATATCAGTTCTCTGAATAGCATTCCGTATGAGCAATATTCACGATCTGACATGAAGATGCAACTGCTTTCCAAACAGTTTTCAATATCCTAATCAACTTACGCTTACCAACTGCAATATGTAGTGCCAATCGGCAAGCAGTGATCTGAATTAGGGAGCAAGCGCAGTTTAGCAGGGTGATCATACAAGTGCAGCGTATAAGTAAGGACAAGTATTCAAGTTCAAGTATCATATGTACAACAAATGGTATTACAATATGTTG